GAAAGAAACGTGCTGAGTCTTGACCTCACTCTCTCCCCCGCCGCCGCCAGCGTCAGACCACCTTCCGCGTCGGTCAGTTGTCTGATGTGAGGTGAGCTGCTCGCTACGCACTACGTCGCGGTCAAATCCCCGAAAACCCCGTCACCCCCTTTTACCGGCCTGCATACTTCCGTAAAATAAGGCGGGCCAATCAGGAAAGAAGTTATTAATATGCTGTCGTTTTTGCGAGCTTGGTCGACTGTCCATTGTTAAAGTGTTAATTGCAGTTCACCGAACACAACCGGAAGTGGCGTGCCATGGCCCATTTGTCAACCTCAGTCGGATCGATTTTTTTCGCCGCCTTGACTTTCTGTTTGACAGGCGGTCTAGCTGAATGTGTTATGAGTCACTCTCTCGACGCGGGGGAGAAGCGGTTGATCATCTCTCTCTCTCCCTCTCTCTCATAGCGTTCAGTCAGTAGCTGATCCACAACATCTGTTGTTACTGTTATCATCAAGAGCGTAAATATCTCCACTGGCTCAACTTTCGTGATAAACTAGGCCAATTAATTAACATATCCAAGGCTCAGTTTATAAGATAATATAAGGGGAATTTCGAAATCAGCTTCATCTGCTATAAATTCAGTTATTAGAAAATGTGTTCATGCTGTCCTTCTGGACCATGCATCTGTCACCGCACACAAGACTCGGGGAGGACAGACCCAGTCTTAGAACTCTAGTCGCCACCAAGCCCAATTAAGTTTCAACCGTTCTAGAGGGAAGAGTGGCCTTTGCGAATTTTCAAAGAGCAGCGTTTTCAGTGGGGCTACGAGACGGAAGGAAGACACAAAACGAGGGCACACAGAACATAACTGATCAGGAGGACAGAAAAAAGAAAACGAAAATTGGAAAAGCAAAAGGACGTTCCCGTGCTAAAACCCGTCGTGGACTTTCGTCCATTATCTTTTTACCACTAAAATGAATGGCCGCGGAAAGGCGAAGGAGCCAGCGGGAGGAAAGAAGCACACAAAGTAGTCTAGGGCTGGATTAGTAATGTCAGTTGGGCGTGTGGACCGTCACCTGAAGCTTAGTAGATACACTCAGAGAACGTTGACAGCCGCTTCGGTGTATCTGTCAGCTGCGATTGAGTATCTAGTTGCGGAAGTTAACAGAATCTCTGGAAATTTAGTCAAACCAAACAAACGAAAGACGATCACACCTCGCCATATCAGGCTGGGTGTATGGAACGACGCCGAACTGAACGAACTCCTAAAATATGTGCATATAAGTCACGGAGGAGTTTTGCCCTGCATTCACCCCTCTCTGCTCAAGAGGAAATCGGTGTCTGGTCAAGTACAAAACCGTACGGGGGGGTTGACGCCTCGTCCAGTGCCCGACAAGGCCTCTCTGGTGGATCTGAAGCAGGTGGCATCTATAGCTCCTTGGTGTAATTGTTCAATTTATATGGCTTTCCTGCTGACCACACCACCGCTGTCCACTTCTTATCCGAAAATTCCTTATCTAACCCCCTCTGTGTATTTATTGAAACGTTTCTTTCGCCGCATCCTTAATTATTGTAAACATTACATTTTCAGAATTCGATATATTACTATTGCTATTCCACCTGTTTGTGTTATACTTTTCAGGCAACAGTGTAAAGGCCTTTTCCCAATAAGCCTTTAACTGTTGGAAAGTATTTTTGCACTTAAGTTACAAATATTATCAAAACGTCTGTAATTGAATCTGGTTGTGGCGAAGAAAATGCAATGACGAGGCCCTCTGGGCCTAAAATATAAAATGTATTTATTTATTTAAGTTTATAAGGGAAATCCTTGTCGCTGCGATCTTCTAACCCGCTTCCGTTTGAGAAGAGAAGAATTCGCACACCAGGTGGGAGCAATAATGTATTCTGTACAGGGGTAGTGGAGAATAGGTTGTAGAAAGTTGGCAGCTGGATGAGTGTACGTTTGGCCGCGAGGGCCGGCATTCGAAGTATGAGAGCGTGGCGGTTGTCACAATGAGGTCCTCTGTGAGTCAGCCTTAAAGGCGATTGGCCAGATCGAGTTGGGGTCGGCAAACACTGATGCGCACGTGACACCAGTCGCGAGAGGTGAAAGCTTGAGCGTTCATGCGGAATGGGGTCACTACGACTCCAGTCACAGTCGAGGCAGAACGCTACAGACAGGACGTGGGCAGACCCTAAACACTAAGACCTTCAGGTGACTTCTAGAGCAGGAACAGAAGTTGAACGTCAGTCGAGAGCTTGGCGGTTTGTACAGAACGAAAGAAGAAAAAATGTGCTATTATAGCGTGTTTTCTACATTAATTTTTGTTCCTACTTCCACATCCTCTTCAAAGTGTTGTTATGATAATTTTATACCCGAAGTGGTGCACAGTGAAGGAGCGGCGTCACGATTTCTCCTCCCACACAATCTCTTAGGAGAGGACACCTTTGCCATAAGTTCGCTGAACCGGCGATTTTCACAAAAGAAGCAGCATTAACTTCACTTAACACTGCTGGTGTGTTTGGAAAAGAAATGAAGACCACTTCGGGGTATTTTTTTCTTTCTTGTTGCTATTCAATTCGAATTTAATTCTCGCAATATAAACAGTGTATTTTAAAACTGAATCTGATTGTTGACCAGTATCTATTATAATAGAACGCTGATGGTAGCATGAGAAAAACAGTAATTTAGCAGCCGGACGCGAGACGTACGTACTGCACCGTGGGTGGCAGGAAAGTGTACTGATTGAGATCATATCTGCATCAGCCAGGAAGTTGATTGGCCGTTTTATGTCCCGCTGTGATTGGCCAAACACAAGACAGAGCATCTTCTTTTCATCCATTGGTCAAACGTTATGGGAACATCATACAGGGCCACAGGATGTCGGAGGAACGACGGTCGCTGGTACATACGTGCAAAGATGTGCCAGACAGGGGCGCAGTGTCACAGCGGGCGCTGGATAAGGGTACACTACAGAAAGGCACTAAGGATGAGGTGATTTAGTGCACACAGCCCTTTTCGTAAAACAAAGGAATTTAGAACTATAGCCTGCACACTCGCATTGAGGACAGTTTTGATAGAAAAGTATCTTTTATAAGGTACTGAAGAATTTGGAATAGCTATCAAAGGCCACAGGCTCTTGTAAAGACAAAGAAAACTTATTAGGGGCGTCATAAATTATATTAGATGTAATTTGCCTGCAGCCACCAAATAAAACCGCGGAACACTGGAGAGGAGAAGTTTTTTTAAAAATATTCATATGAAGTACGCCTAATACTTTCCGTTGCATGCCATCAGCTTGAACTGCTGAATGTAATTTTTCCCACGAGAACAATATAAATTAGACTCCGACGCTCCCATTACCGGCTACGCAGGGTTTTTTGGCTATATTTGGTCATTATTTACTCGAAATGGAAGCAGAGCATATGTAGTGATCCCACTTAGCGCGAACCCCACTAACGAGTGCCCGTTCACTGCTGTCTTTCTACCCCTGTCTGGCTAAGCACCTTCAAGAGTGACTACCACGGGGCCTTGATGTGATGGCTGTCAGACCCACCCACTTCGAATCCGGTCCTCTCGCGGCCGGACGGGCACTAGTCTGACAGTCAAATTCCTCCTACCTATTCTCCACTACTTCTGTACAGAATAAACTATTTCTTCTACCTAGCGTCTCCCTTGTTCTCTTCCCTTATGGAACCGGACCTGAAGATCGCAGCGGCAAGGGCTTTGCTATTTTAACTTAACCCCCTGATATACATCTACTCCCCCAGGATGTTCCTTTCGGAAAGCGGCTTAAGGATGAAAAGAGTAATGCATTAAATCTACAAGCTCACCACGTAATGGGACGTGACAATCATGATGTACTTGACTTTCAGAAGTCTATGCTCTCTCCTACACAGCAGAAGTTAAATATATGGAACGGAGACCTTCCCGAGACGCAAAGAAAAGTCTCACCGGTATCGTTACCAGGTTGTACGGCAAAATAGACAAAAAATGGAGCACATTCAATTCGCTGGTAAAGCAAATTATTGGTCTTAGGGCAAAAGTAGTGCAAATCATATACCCCTAGTCTCAGCATTTTGTCCTACGGAAACGGTGATTATAGGGCTTTTGGGGGTGGGGGAATAGGATGGGCAGGGAAGGAAATGTTTAGAAATAAGTGTAAAGTGAAAAAAATGTAGTCGAATTTGTTTCCCGCGAATAAGTTGTTCCGCATGTAAGTTGAAGCTGTGCGCGGCGCCTCGCGCCGCGAACTATACGAATCTAAGTTTAAAATGGTAAGTTGGACCGCAGGTAAGTTGAAGTAGACGAGCTCCTAACCGCCAGGAGGCAGTGGGCGCGCAGGCAGGCTAAAGGCAACACACGTCTGCGGCTGGTCTTGGGTTCCAAGTGGCTGCAAAAGGCCACTAAAAGTGCTCCCCTCCTAGACCGAAGTTTGTTGATGAAAGAGATCGAACGAAGGAAGATTAGTGAAAGATAGGGAAGGAGGTACGTACCAACGGTAGGGTTC